GGCTCCCCTGACCTTGGGGTGGCCGGGTTCCCGCAGGGCGCTTGCTGCCCGATGGCGATAAGATGTGGCCCTGGCAAGCGAGGAGCTGGAGTTTTGATTTCCTTTTCTTTCGAGCTATTTGCATTTAAATGCCAACAGCCACGTGTGCCCCGTGGTGTCCGGAGTGCACAGCCGGGTTTGCAGAGAAAGCCGCCACTTGTCCTTGGGCAGCCGGGGTCCCGGTGTGTGTGGGTCCGTGGGCGTGGTGTCTCTGGGTCCGGACTTGTTTGTATTTATAACCATTTTTTAAAAAATTAATATATGTGTATCATTCACTGGCACCAGCCTCTGTTCTGAGCACTTTATTTCCTTCAACTCCAGTCTCCACTCAAGTAGGTACTGACATGCTGCCCGTTTTATAGAAGAAGAAACCGAGGGTCAGAGTAGACAGCTGCCAGGCGCTCTTCCTTCTGTGCTGATCCCCGGCGAAGGGCCCCTCAGGCCTGATTTCATCCCATCCTCACAATTTTCTGGAACTGTTAGGACTCCTGTCTTGCGGATGAGGAAACCGGGGCTGAGAGAGGACGCAGCTTGGTGGCTTGGGCCCCATCCCTCAGTGAGCAGAATGCCAGAGCAAGGCTTGGAACCCACCATGAGGTTAAACTGCCCCCTGGAGCGGTTTGTGGGGGCCTGTGAAGGTCGGAGGGGGGACCCACAGGGAACTGAGAACCAGCCAGACTGGAGTTCGAATCTCACCTCTGTTCATTCCTGGCTGTGTGACCTTAGGGTGGTGTCTTGCCTTCTCTGAGCCTCTGGGTCTCCTTGTGCATAACCCATTGTCTTAGCCTGCTCGGGCTGCCATAACAGAATACCATAGATGGGGTGTCTTAAATGACCGAAATTTATTTTCTTACCACCCTGGAGGCTGGGAGCCCAAGACCAAGGTGCCGACGGGGTCAGCATCTGGTGAGGTCTCTCTCCTTGGATGACAGACAGCCGCCTCCTGCTGTGTCCTCACGCGGTGGAGAGCGAGCTCTGGCCCCTTCCTCTTACGAGGACACTAGTCCCACCGTGGGGCCCCCATGACCTCCTCTCCCCCCTCCCAAAAGTCGCCCTCCGGATGCCATTCCCTGGGGGTTGGAGCTTCAGCCTAAGAATTTGGGGGCCGCGATTGCCCCGCTGCACTCCTGCGGAACGAGGAGAGCTCAGCCCACGCCCAGCAGGACGTCAGGAAACATTTCCCGGTGGTTTTAGGACGATGGTTGAGGTTCAAATCCTGGCCCTTCCACTCGTCCGCTGTGTGCCCCTGGGTCCGTTTCTCAACTTCTCTGGGCCTCAGCTGGAAAATGGGAGTGATCATTGTGTCCACTTCAAGCGCCTGGAACAGCACTGGGGATGTGAGGGAGATCGGTGGACCCGGGCCACTTACGATGATGGGGTGTTTATTTGTTAGCGGAGAGGCTGGGGGCCTCTGGGCACCAGGACCGGGGCGCTGGGTCCTGCAGGAGCCCCGCCGTATCCTCACCCACTAGACAGATGGGAAAGCAGAGGCCCAGAGAGGGCCAGACGCTTGTCCAGAGTCACACAGCCCACCAGTCGCAGAGCCGCGGCTGGCACTTGGCCCTTGGGTGTCTCCGGGAGGGCAGGCCAGGCGGGCAGCCACACCTCCCTGCTCCCCGTGGTCCCCGGATGTCCCCAGAGACACACCCACTGGAGGTGGCCCCCTAATCACGGCGCCTAATTACAGCACAGCCCCAGGGAAATGCTGGGAAGACCTTTAAACACCCCAAGAGTGGCTCCCAAGGGCGCGGGCGGATGCTCCAGAGACGAGGAGATGCTTAGAGACAAAATGCATTCATTGTCAAGCTCGGCCAGGGTCGGTTCCGGCCCCTACGAGGCTGGGGGCCCTGCAGCCGGGCCACACCCTCCCTGAGCCTCCCTTGTCCCCACACACAGAATAGGCGACAAGTGAGTCCACTGTGGGACCAGCCCCAGCACAGGGGGCCTCGCTTCTTCATCCTCCCGGACTTTCCCGGTTGCAGACAGAACGCGCGAGGCCTGGGAACAAGGGGCTGCTCGAAGGGCTGGACGCGGGCTGGACGGCGAGGGAAGGCGAGCGGGGCGGCCACCGTGGGAAACAGGCTGGAGGGTCCTCAGAGGGTCGGCCGTGGAGCTAGCATCTGTTGCCAATCTTCTTCTTTTTTTTCTCCCCAAAGCCCCAGTGCATAGTTGCATATCCTAGTTGTGGGTCATTCTAGTTCTACGTGGGACGCCCCCTCGGCATGGCTTGATGAGTGGTGTACCCTGGGCCACTGAAGTGGAGCATGTGACCTTGACCACTGCCACCAGGCAGGCACCTCATTGTGTTTTGATTGGCGTTTCCCTAATGATTAGTGATGTCGAGCATCTTTTCATGGGCTTCTTGACCATCAGATATCTTCTTGGAGAAAAGTCCGTCCAGGTCCTCTGCCCATTCTCGAATGCGGTGGTTTGTTTTGCTTTGTTGTTGAATTCTAGGAGCTCTTTATATATGCTGGAGAATGGACCCTCATCAGACACGGGATGTGAACTCTGTTCTCCCATTCTGTGAGTTGTCTTCAATCCCTTGACGGCACCCTTTGACACATGAAAGTTCTTAATTTCGACGACGTCCAGCGTATCTATTTTCCCCTCCTTGGCATGTCTGTGGGCAAGTCACAGGGCTCTCAAGCTCAGCATGTCCAAACCGAGGCAGGAAGCCACCCCCTCACCTCTCACAGCCCAGCTCACTGTCACGATGGCTCTGCCGTCCATCCTTGTCACCCCTCCCTCCTGCCGTCCATCCTGACCGCCACCCGCTGAACCCCGTTCACATCTGGCCGCTTCTTTCTCTGCCTGGCCCCCACCCTGGTCCAGCTCCTCTCTGCTCTCGGGATGTTTTTCCTGCCGGGGCCAACGTGTCCCCTGGGCCGTGCCCGGAACCCAGGATACTTGCAGGCTTCCATGAAAATGTTTAGGGGCCAGGCTGGTGGCGCAGCAGTTAAGTTCGCACGTTCTGCTTTGGCGGCCCCGGGTTCGTAGGTTCGGATCCCGGGTGCGGACGTGGCACCACTTGGCAAGCCATGCTGTGGCAGGCATCCCACATAGAAAATAGAGGAAGATGGGCACGGATGTGAGCTCAGGGCCAGCCTTCCTCAGCAAAAAGAGGAGGATTGGCAGCAGATGTTAGCTCAGGGCTAATGTTCCTCAAAAAAAAAAAAAAAAAAAGAGAGAAAGAAAATGTTTTAATTTCCTTTAAAATCAGAAAAAAACAATGAATAGAATGATCATGAATATGTCATCAGACATCCAGCCCGGATTACATCCGTCTGTGTACCCACGCTGTCGCAAAATATCATCTTTAATATTTTTCTTACAGGGAGGGACCCACAAAAGTCATAATGCACCCCTGCATCCTGCACTTTATGTATCTTGTGGATATGTGACCGACAGCCAGAGGGAGGTTTTGAAAGCTGAATGGGGTCATGCTGCCCTCCCGCCATATTCCAAGCCCTTCTGTGGCTCCCCAGCTCCCCTGAATGAAAGATGATTGCAGAGTCCGAGGCCCCGGGTGGTCCGCCCCCACCGTCTCCTCCCTTCTCTCCCCCTCACCCACCCCGCCTCCAGCCCCCTCTGTGCTCCCCGATTTCGGCAGCTCTGTTCCGTCCTCCGGGCCTTTGCAGGTGTAAACTTCCCCAGCCCGTCACTTGTCACCCAGGTAACCCCGACTTCTGTCATTTGGGGGGCGCCCTCCCTGAGCAGCCCCCCGGCCCCCAGCCAAGGTCCGACCCATTGTTACCAACTTTCCTGGAACCAAGCTCCCCACACGCTTCCTTCCACTTGGTTCTCATTAGAGCAGCGAGGACCCCCCACTCGGCACTGTGGACACGGGGTTGGTCACTCTCTGTGGGGCCATCCTGGGCACTGTGGGGGGTCGAGCAGCATCCCTGGCCCCCACCCACTCGATGCCAGGAGCTGTGACAGCCACAGAGGTCCCCAGATGTGGCCGAATGTCCCCAGGGCAGGCCCGCCCCAGGTTTGGAGCACAGCGTGAGAGAGAAATGGCGTAAATGTCAGCTTCCCCTGCTACGCTCGCGCCAAGCAGAGCCCGGAGCCCGGCCTCCTCGGCCCTTCCTGGGGCTCCAGGGCTTGGCACACGGGACGTGGGAAGGGACAGCGCGGGTCAGTCATTTCCCAGGAGCGGAGCTGTGCTGCGGACTGAGTTGCGTCCCCCCAAAGTCCTGCGTGGGACCCCCAGGGTGGCTGTATTTGGAGATGGGGCCCTGAGGAGGGAACGATGGTGAGATGAGGTCACAAGGATGGAGTCCTCACCCGATGGGATCGGTGTCCTTATAAGAGGAGGACGAGAGGGAGATGCCGGGAGGCCTCGGCGAGAAGGCGGCCATCTGCGAGCCCAGGAGGGAGCCCTCGCCGGAAACCCGAGCTGCCGGCCCTTGACCTTGGACCCTCCAGCCTCCAGACCCATGGGAAATAATCGTCCCTCCTTTATAAGCTGCCCAGCCTGTGGCAGCCCGGCCGGACCAAGCTGCATTCTGCTTTGCCTGGAGCTGACGTTCTAGTGGGGACAGTGAGCATGTGAATGCAAATGTACAGAGATAGAGATGTTGCTAGAAAGAAAAATAGAGCAGGGCCAGCGAATGGGTGTGGGGCTATTTTAGGGAGGTCCAAGGTTGAGGAAACGATATCCGGGCTGGGACCCGAAGGAAGTGAGGAGCAGACCAGGCAACCTCTAGGAGAAGAACCTCCCAGTAGAGGGCACAGCCCATGCAAAGGCCCTGGGGCAGGCCCGGCCTGGTGTGTGGAAGGAACAGCGAGGCGGCCGTGTGGCTGGAGCAGAGGGAGGAGGGGGAGAGAGGGAGGAGGGAGGGCAGGGAGGGGACGGGGCAGGTCGTGCGGGGCCTGGGGAGGACTCAGCTTCTCCCCAAGGGAGGGGGACCCTGTGCCCGCAGGGAGGATGTGGGTCTCATTGAAAATGCGTGAGGGTGCCCGCTTCGGCAGCACATATACTAAAATTGGAACGATAGAGAGAAGGTTAGTGGGGCCCCTGAGCAAAGATGACACGCCAATTCGGGAAGCGTTCCATGTTTTTAAAAATTTAAGCCAAAAATGATAGGTTTCTTTATTTTTCACTAAACAGGCAATTGAAATACGTACAATGAAATGGACAGAATAAATACTCAATTTGGTTTTTCGGCTAGGAGAATTTCACAACGAACTCGTAACTTGTTTTGTAAAATAATAATAATTAATAATAATAACAACCAAATGCACGAGGGAGCCCAGGGAAGGTCCTGAACAGGGACGGACACAACTTCATTTGTGTTTTCAAAACTTCCCCTCGGAGCCGGGAGCCCCGCTGGAGAAGGGGGTCAATGCGGAAAGAGGGGGGGGAATGCAGGGGGTGGGAGGGAATCGGAGGGGTCAGTGTGAACTCAGCCCTTAAGACAGAGAGAGAGAGACGTGGATGGATGCACGGATGGATAGATAGATGGATAGACAGACAGACGGATGGATAGATAGACAGACAGAGATGATGGATAGATAGATAGATAGACGGATGGATGGATAAATAGAGAGATGGACACAGATGATAGATAGATAGTTAGACAGACAGACGATAGATAGATAGATGGATAGACAGATTGATGGATAGATAGATAGACAGATGGATAGATAGATAGATGGACACAGATGATAGATGGATGGATGGATGGATGGATAGATAGATAGACAGATGGATAGATGGACACAGATGATAGATGGATGGATGGATGGATGGATAGATAGATGGATAGATAGATAGATGGACACAGATGATAGATAGATGGATGGATGGATGGATAGATAGACAGATGGATAGATAGATAGATGGACACATGATAGATGGATAGATGGATAGATGGATGGATGGATGGATGGATGGTGGATGGATGGATGGATGGACACAGATGATAGATAGATGGATGGATGGATAGATAGATGGATGGGTGGGTAGATAGATAGATGGATAGATAGATAAGTGGATCGATAGATAGGTGGATGGACAGATAGATAGACACAGATGATAGATGATAGATAGATAGACAGACAGATGGATATAGATGATATGTGATAGATGGATAGACGCAGATGATAACTAGATAGATACATAGATAACAGACAGATTAGATTGCTGGAGGATGTAGACAGATCATAGATAAGATAAATAAAATGATAGATATATAGATGATAGATAAACAGACAAATGATAGACAATAGATAAAGATAGAGCATAGATAGGGTAGATAAATAGATGATAAATATAGAGACAGATGATAAACAGGTGATAGGTAATAGATAGATCACTAGCTGATAGACGGATGGATAGACAGATGACAGACGATAGACTTAGGTGTAAATATGTGAATGTGTGTGTGTGTGCACGTGCGTGTGTCTCCCAACTCCACTCACCTGGAGGCCGGGGAACAGCGACGTCGCAGCCGCGTGCCCCCAGCGCCCGGGCCTTGGTGTCTAAGTACCATCTCCATCTCCAGGAACAGGCTCCCGCAAGAGACGTCTGACGCCAGGAGCGGAGCAGGGAAAGGACAGGAGGAGCCTGGAACGTCTCGTGGGGCTGGAATGCAAGGAAGCGTTCAGAGACTGTGGGGACGCATCACGTGACACGGGGGCCGCCTCAGAGGGGCTCTCGAGAGGGGCCCCGTTAGGGGACCTTTGGGTTCCGGGTCTATTTGTGAAGCTGGGACCAATGGGCTTGCTGACGGGCCACAGCAGGATGTCTGTCTGTACAGTTACTTGGTTACTGGCCGGCTTCCCGGGGAGACTGTAAGGTCAGGGTCCCTGGGGGTCCCTGCATCCTTAGCATCCAGACTAGGGCCGGGCATACAGTCAGTGCTTAATAAATCAAGAGACTGAGCTCTGTGGGTGGAAAAGAAGACAAGGATTCCAAAGATACACAAATCACAGAATCCATCATCGCTCCTCTCTGAGCCTCAGTTTCCTCATCTGGAAAATGGGGATCATAACTCCTACTTCATTCAGTCGTTTCACAAATACCTGCTTTCTGTATCGACTGTCAGTCCCTCGCCAGACGGCAGCCGTGTGCTGGGACACAGAGGGAAACAGGACAGGCTGTCACGAATCTTTTAGTCAGACGGGCTGACAGATAACCAAGAAGACCGAGATTAAACATGACCATCTCAGACTGACAAATGCTATTTTAAAGAATAAAAGTGGATGAGATAGTAAAGAATGATTTTTTTTGTCCATTGGGCTGGTCACGGAAGGCTTCTCTGAGGAACAGCCATTTAAGCAGACAAGAAGGATTAAGTCCACGGGAAGATGTAGGAAAAAGCGTTCCAGAGAGAGGGAACAGCATGTGCAAAGGCCCTGGGGTAACTGACTTTTCATGTTCATGTATCTTGCATTGTAGTGATGGGGATGAAAATTAGGGGCCAGCCTGGGCATTAACATGTGTCCAGTCAGTGTCCATCAGTTTATTCTCCACTGTTTTTCCGTAGCAAATGGCCTGGTAAAGAAGAGGCATTTATTAAAGAAAGGAAGGTAGGAGAAGGAAAAAATAATATAATAATCACTGATTTCCTCATGCAATGAATTTGGAAAATCATGTGACCCGTCAGAACATCTATCGAGCCCATAATATGGACATGGGTCATGCAATTGAAGCACTGGGTCCTGTTTTTATTTAAAAGTTTCAAATTTTGTTCATCATGGAAACTTCTCGATTTATCGTGATCGGTTCAAATATTGCCTCGTGCAGATCAAAACCACAGCGAGACGCCACTTCATACCTGCTGGAACGGCTGTCGTGATTTTTTTTTATTTAAATGCACAAGAACAAGTGTTGGCGGGGACGTGGAGAAACTGGAGGCCCCGTGCACAGCTGGGGGGAACATAAGACGGTGCAGCCGCCGCGGGAAACGGGAGGGCGGGTCCTCGGAAAATTAAACACGGATCGCCACGTGGTCCCGCAGGCCCCCTCTTGGGTCTCCGCACAAAACACTGAAAACGTCCGTCCACAGGAAAACGCATCTATGAATGTTCACGGCGGCTTATTCACCATAGTCAAAAGGGGGACACACCCCAGTGCCCATCGACGGATGATGGACACACACAAGTGTCTGTCCACACAGTGGAATATTATGCAGCCGTGAAGAGGAGCGAGGCCCTGACACGGCTGCACATGGACGGACCTGAACACACGACGCTCAGGGGGAGCAGCAGACACAGAAGGACACACAGTGTATGATCCCATGGACGTGAAATGTCCAGAACAGGCAGATCCACAGAGAGCGGGTTCATGGGGGCCAGGGGCTGGGGGGGTGAGGGTGATGCTGATGGGGATGGGGTTTCTTTTTGGGGGGATGGAATGTTCTGGAATAAAATAGAGGTAATGATTGCACAACGTTGTGAATGCACTGAGTGTCTCTAATGGGAAATTTTACATATATTTTAATACAATAAAAAAAAAAAATAGGGGCTGGCCCCGTGGCCGAGTGGCTAAGTTCACGCACTCTGCTTTGGTGGCCCAGGGTTTCGCCGGTTGGGATCCTGGGCGTGGACATGGCACTGCTAGTCAGGCCATGCTGAGGCGGCGTCCCACATGCCACAACTAGAAGGACCCACAACTAAAATAGACAACTATGTACTGGGGGGATCTGGGGAAAAGAAGAAAAACAAAAGAAGATTGGCAACAGATGTTCACTCAGGTGTCGATCTGTAAAAAAAACAAAACAAAACAAAACAAAGGAAAACAAAAAAATAGGGGCCAGCCGCGTGGTGTAGTGGTTAAGCTGGCCATGCTCTGCTTTGGCGGCCTGGGTTCGCGGGTTCAGATGCTGGGCGCAGACCTATCACTCTTCAGCCATGCTGTGGTGGCGTGCCACATACAAAATAGAGGCAGACTGGCACAAATGTTAGCTCAGGGCTAATCTTCCTCAGCAAAAAAAAAAAAAAGTTGTATTAAAATAGTGTTTATGATGTTGACTGAGATTTTTGGTGTCCCCTTAAGTTTTATGTCTGAAGAAAGTGTGTCACTCGAAAGTACACTCGCCCACTCTAGTCCCAGCCTTGCCAGAACGAACTGGGAAGTCACAGTGAGGCCTCATGGAGAAGGTGACATTTAAGTCAAGACTAGAAGGAAATGAAGGCCTTAGCCAAGTTGGGATTTGGGGATGAGCATTCCAGGCAGAGGGCGCAGCCCCTGCAAAGGCCCTGGGGTAGGCCCGGGCCTGGTGTGTTCGAGGGGAAGGAATTTCATCCTCCTTAGTCACTGCTGTAAACCTCCACTGAGATCCACGCTCGGCACACAGTAGGTGCGTTAAACAAACATTCACTCAGGGAGTGAATGAACACCGGCTCCATTTCGGGTGGCGTGGGACTGAGGTGCAGAGCAGTGAAGTCACCTGGTCCCCTGTCACCCAGCCGGCCCCTCCCGGAGCCCCACTTTGGGTCTCTCCCCTGGTCCGCCAGCCTCCTGCCTCGCCAGCAGGAACCTTCCACCACCCGGCCCTAGAGGCCTCTGTCTGCTGCTCTAAGCCAAGGCTTCTCAGCTGGAAGCGATTTTGTCCCCCAGGGACCCTGGGCCATGTCTGGGGACACCTGTGGCTGTCAAGACTGGGGGTGTTTCTGAGCATCCCATGGGTGGGGGCCAGAGATGCTGCTCAACACCCCACAGTGCCCAGAATGGCCCCCACAGAGAATAATCCAGGCCAGAATGCCCACAGAGCAGACTGAAAACCTGCTCTAACGCCTCCCATGGCTCCCTAGTGCCCTGCAGGTAAAATGCGAACTCAGTGCGGAACGCAGGGCCCCGCCTCGTCCTGGCTCCCGGCCCTCTCCAGCCAGAAGCCCCCAGTGCCCTGCCTTCATGCCCCACCGAGAGGGGCAGCCTTGCTCAGCGGTCAAGGGACCAAATATCTGGCTTTATATCCTGGCTCTGGCACCTACCGGCTGTGTGATTTCGGCCAAGTCACGTAACCTCTCGGGGCCGTAATTTCCCCATCTTCCAAAAGGCCATCAAGGCTGTTCCTAAGTTAAAATGTGGACGGCAGGGCCTGGCGTGGAGTAAAAACATATCTGGGTGGGTGGGTTTCTTCGTGCTCACAGTTTGGGCCATAATTCTAGGTTTCTCTATGCGCTGAGAGGTGAGCCCGGACCCCACAGTGCTGGGGGGGCGTCTGTGCCCAGTTCTGTCCCCCCAACCAGTCTGTGGTCTGCTGCGATGGGAGCGCTGGTTCCCAAGTGCCAACACCGGGAGGTGCCTGCCTGGATGAGGGCCTCCCCAGAGAAACGATGTCTGTCCCCATGGTCTGGGGGGTGGGTGGGGACTGGGGTGGGGCTGGTTCCACATCTCACAGGGTCCTGCACTCGAGGACCCCACGCTCGGTTTCATGCCCTTATGGTCACCATCTTGAAACCCTAACCTTTTTTTTTTTTTTGAGGAAGATTAGCCCTGAGGTAATATCTGCTGCCAATCCTCCTTTTTATTTATTTATTTTTTTTTTTGCTGAGGAAGATTGGCCCTGAGCTCACATCCGTGCCCATCTTCCTCTATTTTATATGTGGGACGCCTACCACAGCATGACTTGCCAAGTGGTGCCATGTCCACACCCGGGATCCAAACCAGCGAACCCCGGGCCACTGAAGCGGAACATGTGAACTTAACCGCTGCGCCATGGGGCCGGCCCCTAATTTTTATTTTTTAAAATACTGCCCTAAAGTATTATTTATCTTGAGGGGCTTTTTTTTGGGAGGGGCAGAGAGAGCCTTCAAGGTTGCTTATTTCTCTCATCCTAGTCGCCGCCCCTCATCCGCCGGGGAAAGGTGACCGGGGTCGTAACCATCTTACACTTGGGAACCCAGGGCCCAGAGCAGTTAATTGATTGGTGGCAGCTGCGGAGCTGACGACGACAACGACCATGACGAGAAGGAAGCGACAGCAGTTAGCACTTGCCAGGGGTTCACGTGCGTTATTTCAACAGCTTCTCCCAGGTCTGTTCCCCACATGGCCGCCAGAGAGATCCCATCAAAATTGTCAGACCCGCCCTCCTCCACCCACAGCCCTCCAGGGCTCCCCCCTTCTCTCAGGGGACAAGCCCGGGTGGCCCCCACACACACACCGGGGCGGCTCCCCAGGCCGGGCCCCATCTGCCCTGCTCACGGCCACCAGCTACCGAATTTGCAGCGCGCCATGCAAAACAAAACTGCGAGGCTCCTCCTTCAAAAATTATTCGGGATTTCCAGAGCACAACGGTTGAACCCACGCACAGGCCCTTCTGGGAGCCGGGCACCTGGGCGCAGGCCCCAGGCCACCGGCCCTGCCTCCCTGCGCTCATTTCCCGCCCTGCGCCCCCGTGCCAGGCACCGTGCTGCCTCAGGGCCTTTGCTCTTGCTGTTTCGCCTCCTTGGGGAAGCCTGCACCCGCGCAGGCCCCTGCTGGCTCCCTCTCGCCCCTTCCAGTGCCCTCTCTAAAACTGCACCGGCCCGGGCCTCCTCTCTGCTTTCTTTTCTCCACGCCTGCGACCACCATCTGACCCGCAGGGGGTCTGCCCGGTGTATTCGTCTCCCCACGTTGTACGCGCCCCCCCCCCACACCCTGACCCCCGCGTCCTGGAGCAGGGCCTGGCACACAGTAGGCGCTCCATCCATGCGCGCGCGGAAGCCATGGCTCCCAGGAGGCCGGCGGTGGAACCCCCGCCTGTCTTCCGAGGAGGAAACCGAGCCTCGGAGAGCACAGCCGGCGAGCCAAGGTGACAGAGCATGTCCCTGGCACGCGTCCAGGTCGCGCCATGACACAGCCAGCCGTGGCGATGGGGGCGGCCGGGCCCCTTTCTTTGACAGATGGGGAAACCGAGGCCCGGGAGGCCGGGAGGGGCGGCGGCGGCGGCGGCGCGGGGTGGGGGGCGGGGAGGGGGGCGCGCGCCGGGCCCAAGGTCACCGCGCCGGCGGCCCGGGGGAGGCGGGCGGGAGGGATCGGCGGGCCTCCCGGGCGCGCGCCCCCCCCCTCGGCGGCGCGCACGGGGCCCGGGCGGCGGCGGCGGCGGCGGCGGCAGCAGGTGGAGTCGAGGCCGCGGCCCCCGCCGGCGTCGCCGCCATTAGACAATAGGAGCGGCGGCCGGGCGCGCGGGCGGCGGGCGGGGAGGCGCGGAGGGCGGGGAGGGCGCCGGGCGCGCAGGAAGCGGGGCCGGGGCGCGCCGGGGCCGGGCGCGCGGGGAGGGGGCGCAGGAAGCGGGCGAGGCCGGGCGCGGGAGGCGGCGGCGGCGGCGGCCCCGGAGCTGCCGATCGGCGCCGGGACAAAGGCGCGGCCGCCCGGCGCCCCGAGCCGCCCGAGCCGGGGCGACAGCCGGGGCGCAGCCCGCGCCCCCCGCCGCGACTGACATGATGTTTCCACAAAGCAGGCATTCGGTAAGCGGGGCCCGCCGGCCCGGCGCCCCCCCCCCCATCGGGGCCCAGCACCCCCCTTCCAGGTCCAGGCCCGGCGTCCCCCCCCCGCCCCAGATCCGGGCACCGCACCCCTCCCCACGTCCCGGCCCTGCGCGCCCCCAAGTCCGCGCCCGGCACCCCCAGCTCCCAGCTCGGCGTTTCCCCCCAGGTCCCGTCCCTGCGCCCCCTACCCCAGCTCCCTACTCGGCGCCTCCCCCCAACTCCTGGGCCCGGTCCCCTCCAGATCCAGGCCCAGCGCTACTCACCCCCCCAGCTCCCAGGGCCCCCCCCCCCCACGTAGCTCCCGGTCCCCCTCCCAGCTTCCGGGCCGAGCCCCCCCAATCCCAGCTCCCAGGCCGTGTCCCCTCCAGCTCCCGGCCCCGCGCCGCCCCCCCTCCCCGGCGCTTGGGCCCTGCGCCCCCCCACCGAGCCAGGCAGGGCCTGGGCGGCCTTGGTGTCGGGCCTGGGGCGCCCCGGGGCCCCACCGCGCACCTCTAACGGCGGGGCTGCTCTCGGCGCCGGGAGTGGGGGCCTATCGAGGCGCACCCCTCCCGAAAGAGCGCGGCCCGGAGGAAGGGTGCTGGGAATCTGGGGTGAGGGACCCCCGCCGGGAGATTCTGGGCGCCGAGAGGGGCCCCTCCCCCAACGGGACTTGGCAGGGAGGCCTGGCTCCCCCCATCTTGGGGACGGGGACCCCCTAGGACGCCTGCGCCCCCTCCCTCTCCCAGAGGCAGCGGGGGCGCTCGATGGGCGCCCCCCTCCCGGCGCTTGGAGGGGCGGTAGAGGGCGCCCCATGCCCCCTCCCACCCCAGGGCGGGCCTCCCAGCGCCCCCCCCCCAGCCCGGGGGCGGCGGGGACTCGGCAGCTCCGGGCGCGCCCACCCCCTGGCTTCCCCCGGGAGAGGCGAGGGCAGGAAGCGAGGGCGGGGGCGCGCCGGGGGCTGTAAACACGGGCCCGGGAAGTGGGGCGCGGGGGTGGGGGGGATGCGCAGCTGGGCCGGCCTGGCCTCGGGGCCGCCCCGGAGGGAGGGAGGGGTCCCCCCTCCACGCCTGGGCCTGACCCCGCCGCCCCCTCCCGCAGGGCTCGTCGCACCTACCCCAGCAACTCAAATTCACCACCTCGGACTCGTGCGACCGCATCAAGGACGAGTTCCAGCTCCTGCAGGCGCAGTACCACAGGTGAGGGGTCTGTCTGCGCCCCGGGGGGCGGGGGGGACCCCGGAGCAGGACAGCCCCGAGCCGGGGCGCCACCCCCCCCCCCGTGTGCACACACCCGGAAAAATCCAGATCCAGAGGGTCTCCCCTGGCAGGTGCCACCCTGAGCACTGGGCCCGTTTTTAAACTCATTTCTTTTTTCGAGCAGTCCCATTGCTCAGATGCGGAAATCGAGGCACAGAAAGTCAAATAATTTGCCCCAAGCCTCAGCTGTAGGGCGTCAGAGCCCGCGTCCCACCCCAGTCCCCACTGGATAACCGACCCGCCCACAACCGGAGTGGGGGCTGCACCCTCTGGCTGCCCACCCCCAAAAGGAAAAATCGTGCCGCCTGATGGGCTGTCTCTTTCGGCCTGGTTTTGGAGACAGCCACCCTGGCAGCCGGCAGCTTCTCGAAGGTGATCCTCCCTCCAGAATGTCACCTTTTGGTCTTTCTAAGGGGCTGGCGTGTGACCCCTGTAAGAGGAAGGAAGTAGTATTGCTTTCATCTTACGCTTGAGACGCTTCGGCCCAGAGAGGTCAGGCATTTCCTGGGGATGCACAGCAAGGAGGTGGCAGAACTGAGATTTGCACGCAGTTCCTCTGCGTTGAAGAATGGGGGAGGGGTTACCTGGGAATCAGAAGGGGGTCCATAGGAGGCCACGAATCCCAGGGGGGTTTGGGGGACCCTCTCTGGACTCAGTTTACCCACACAGAAGGAGTTACTGAAGGATGCTGGGTTTCCTCCAGAAAGAAAGAAGAGTGATTTTTTTTTTACGAACATCCAGCGTTTGGGGGCTGCCTCGTAGCTTCCGCGTGTGCTAAGTAGGGAACAGACACCCTCTGGGGGGATCGTTCCTGCCGTCCTGTAATTGTGCCCATTTTAAAGATGGGGAGACTGAGGCACGCACAGTTGAAAGGCAGGCCCTGGGAATGTGCTCTGGTCCCGTGACGGGGAGGGGTCTCGGGTTGCCCTGGTGGACCTGGCCTTTGGGAGACCTGGGGGCTCCCCTCCCAGCCCGGCCCTCGCCCACCGCACTCTGAGCCCCGGGTGGTCCAGCCTCAGAGACTCAGCATCACATCGCTGCCTCAGTGCTGTGTGACCTCGGGGAGGCCAGAGCCCTCTCTGTGCTTGCGGGTCTCGGTGCCCTGGACGGGGGTTCCCTCCGTACAGGGAGGGGTCCGGCCATGTCGGGGCGCCGCCGGCTCTGCCGGGCCCTCAGAAAAGGCCAAAAATCCAGAGTTGGGGATCAAACGGCCTGATTTTCTGTTTTTTAGTGATGTCAACAAATGCACATTTTTAAAGAAAATCAGAAAACAAACTGGACCCCCTGGGGGGACACATTCGGCTCCTGGGCTGACCATGAGACCACTAAGCATTTATTGGTGCTTACTGTATGCCAGGCGTTGTTCTAAGAGCGCTACTTGTCTTAATCCGCTTCCTCCTCACCACCCCACCTGGGGAAGTTGGTATTTAACAGCCTGGAGACCCAGGCCCAGAGAGGGAGAGGAGTTTGCCTGCAGTCACACAGCATCGAGGGAGCAGGACACCTTGGAAGCCGGCCGGGCTGCCTTGTGGCTGTGCTGTCAGCTCCCTTTGGGGGGGGCGGTGCTTAGAGAAATGCCGCAGCTCGTCCTCACTGGGGGAGCCTGAGAGAGGCCGGGTCACCATCGTGTTACCCAGCACTGGAACTTTCACCCCCTCTTGAAATCAGAGGGGTGTGGCCCCTTGGGGATTCCTTGGTGAGTCCATCCCAGGGCCCTACAGCCAGCCCCGCCCTCTGGGCCCCTCTGCCCTGTCTGTCTGTCCCTCCCTCGCTGGAGAGTTTTCCCCACTGGTGGAGAGTGTGGCCTCTGAAGCCAGCTTCCTGGCTGTGTGACCTTGAGCCAGTTACTCAACCTCTCTGGGCATCCATTGCATCATCTGTAAAATGAGAGTGACGCTAATAGTTTTGACTTCATTCGGGTTCGGGATAGGTCAAGGGTTCTCTGAATCCCCGTCTGACCCAGAGTCCGGCCATCGCTCTGACTTTGGTTATTTTTTTATTATTATTCTCATTATTATTCTCCACCGCCGATCCGCGAGGCTGGTTTCATAATCCCCATCTTAGAGCTAATGAACCGAGGTTCCCCCTGCCCCGTCTTCACAGAGGAGGGCACGTGTGTCCCCCTTGAAGGTCGGGGCCCCCCAGCACCTGGGGGGCGGGGAACCCCAGCCCAGCACCCGCCCCTCCCTCCTGTCCCCCTTTCAGCCTGAAGCTCGAATGCGACAAGCTGGCCAGCGAGAAGTCGGAGATGCAGCGTCATTACGTCATGGTAAGCCGGGCGGGCGGGCGTGGGGGACCCCGGACCCTCCTCCCCGCCGGCACCGCGGCCGCCTCCCCCCAGGGAAGGGCAGGGCGTCGCGGCTGCTCTCCATCCCGCGGCCCCTGGCGCTCGGCCGCGTCCGCCCGGCTGGCCTGGCTGGCGGCCCAGGCGGTGACGGAGGTGCCAAGCCACCGGGTTGCAGCCCGGGCCTGCCAGGTCCCCCCGCCGTCCTTGGCAGCCGCGGACGCAGCTGTGGAGCCGCGGCCAGGAACTGACGTGGGCCCCTCCCCGCCCCCTCCTCCCCTGCCCGCCCTGGGAGGGGGACGCCCTTGGGGGTTAGTGTGTTGGGGGGTGACATTGGCTCCCCTTGGCCTGACATTTCAGCCCCCGCCCGTGCACCCTGCTGGAATCGCTTGCTCAGTTGCATCCCCTCCAGGTGGCCGTTTTGGCCCCCCAAACCCCTGCCTTGGTCCAGCCCCGAGCAGAGCCAGACATGGCCCCTCTCGGCCCGGAGGGATGGGGCTGGGGCAGAAAAGGGACCCGGGACTGGGGGCTCCAGAAGGGGGGCACGCTGCCTGAGGAAGGCTGCGTGGAGAGTGGGGTATTGCTGCTGGGGTCTTGATGAACGAGTAGGAGCTTGCTCGGCAGAGAAGGGGAAAGCAAGCGTGCAAGGGGCTGGAACCAACTTGGTTCTCCCCCCTCCCACGGGACAGTTTCCAGCAAGGGAGGGGCAGGGTCAGATGTGGGGCGTGGGGAGGGGGGCTGCCGGCCTCGGAGCCAGATCCGGCAAGCTCTGTGTATCCTGGATTATTTATACCCAGGAAGGCAAACTTCCCTGGAGTCTGGGGCCACCCGCAGACAAGACACATAAAGATAAGAGATTAGGAGGCCTGGAATGTGTGTGTGTTGGTGGAGGGGGGGACTCGGTAATTATGCCAGAAGCCAGAGGCCCAGCCCCCCAGCCAGGCACCTGGGCCGCCTCGCTCCCGCTCCAGGGGCGGGTGTCCCCCCTCCCAGCCTCCCTACCTCCCCCTGCCTGGCTCCGTCTCTCCCTCCCACCGTCTCTCCCCTTCTCTGCCTCCCTCTCCTGTCTCTCCCTGTCACCCCCATCTCTTTGTCTCTCGAGCCCCCGTCTTCGCCCGCCCCACTTCTCCCTCTCTGTCCCCCCCACGCAGTACTACGAGATGTCCTACGGCTTGAACATCGAGATGCACAAGCAGGTACGGACCCCTCCGCCACGGCCGCCGCCCCCTCCTCCGCCGTCCCCTCACCCCCTCTGGCCCGGCTGAGCATCAGGTCCGCCCTGGGATCCTGTCACAGGTTGATCCCCTCCAAGGAGAGGGGCAGGGACGTGCCACCCCAACCCTGTCGCCTCCCCTTGGTGACAGTGCGGGGTGGGTACGCCTTGCAACCCCCGGATTGCCCTCCGCCCTGGCTTCTGCCGTCGGTGCCTCCATGAGGCCAGTATCTGGGACGTCACGGAATGTGGATGCCGACTGCCCCCACCGCCCCCTCCCTCGCTCCCTCCCTCCCACGGGGCGCCCACTACCAGTCGGCGCCGGCGTCATCGTCCGCTGGCCGCCAGCCCCCGCGTGGGCCTGCGCTTGCGCTGTTAGGCGCGGACCTGGGCCACGTGGGCGGGCCCTGGGCCATATGGGCGGGGCCCGGGCCTGGTGGGCGGGGCTGGGTCTAGTGGGCGGGGGCCCAGGCCTAAGGGGCGGCCCCTGGGCCTGGTGGGCGGGGCCACGGGTCTGGTGGGCGGAGCTGGGTCTAGTGGGCGGCCCCTGGGCCCGGTGGGCGGGGCCGCGGGTGTAGTGGGCGGACCCTGGGTCTGGTGGGCGGGGCCACGGGTGTAGTGGGCGGACCCTGGGTCTGGTGGGCGGGGCCACGGGTCTGGTGGGCGGGGCTGGGTCTAGTGGGCGGGCCCTGGGTCTGGTGGGCGGGGCCCGGGCCGGCGGCACCTGCGGACCGAGGCGGCTGTCTGTTCCAGGCTGAGATCGTGAAGAGGCTGAATGGGATCTGCGCGCAGGTGCTGCCCTACCTGTCCCAGGAGGTGAGCGCTCCGGGCCGGGAACAAGCCCCTGCCGCCTGGGGCTACAGCGTGCTGGGCGCCCCAGGGCACACACCGGCCCTCTCTGGACCTCCCAGGCCCGAAAACCCCAAGGGGCGCAGGGCGGGGAGGGAGGGGCCTCCCCCGCTGTGGAGTTCCCAGGCCGGGTGAGTCATTTCGGGTAAAATGTCAGATCGGTCAAGGCCGCCCAGAATCGTCCTACCTCATTTCTCACCCTCCGGGGCTTCATCCGCTAGGCCCTGCGGATGTTCCCGCTGCAGGCTGGGAACAAGGGGACGGAGGCTGTGGGGAGGACGCCCAGCACACAGACCCACACAGATGCAACATACGGATGCACACAGCAGGCAGACACACAGAGGTGCACACACATGCAGGTGCACAAGGTGTTCGCTGACACGGGCACACACGGCCACAGGCGCGCGCGCGCGCACACACACACACACACACACACACACACACACACACCCAGGGGAACTGGGCAGCCAGTCCTTCCTCTTCTGCTTTCTCGGGTTCTCAGACTCCTGGTGTGAGGCTGGCTCCACCACCAGCACCCGCGAGGCCATGTAGGGCCCAGCTCCGGCTCTCTGCCAGGTTGACCGTCAATAATTCATGATTTCCTTTTTCATATCTCAGGGTCCTTCAGGTGACAGGCATGCCTGGGGACAGTCCCAGAAGGACACCAGGACAGCCCCAGAGAAGGGGGCACTTGGGGCTCTGCAGACCTAGATTGGTGCTTTCCTTTCGTGACAGGGGCTTCCTGGTAGCCAAGGCGAAAAAGGAGCTTGGCAGATTCTAGCATCTGATGGCAGGAGAGACAGACTTTCAGGCAGGGCTCTGAGGAGCGGCGGGAATGCCCTGAACCTGGGCTCATACCCCAGCCCTGCTAGAATTTGCTGTGCCTTTCCCAGGTCTAGAAGTAGGGAAGCTTAGATTAGCACATCTCAGAGCACAGTCTCTGAGTTCCTAGGATCAGGACTTCCCTGTACAGTTGGCCGGGCTGTGCACTGCATTTTTATTTCTGTGCATGTGGCATCGGATAGGTCACCACCCAGGGGTTAACCTCTGACTCCCCCGAAGGCTTTTTCCACCAGCCTCTCTGGGTCTTGTAGGCACCTCTATTTTCCAAATGAAGAGACTGAAGCTTGGTCAAAGAATCCCCTGCAGAGAGGGGGCTTTCTGGGGAGGGGCGTGGGTGCCACAAACCCTGGCAGAGATGAGGGCGCATCACTTGACTCCTCTCTCCTCCCCACCCTCCTTCCAGCACCAGCAGCAGGTCCTGGGAGCCATCGAGAGGGCCAAGCAGGTCACAGCGCCGGAGCTCAACTCTATTATCCGAGTGCGTTTGGGGTCGCCTTGCGGGCAGGAGGGAGGGAGGGCGGGCGGGCGTGCTCGTGGCGGGGGGGGGGGGCGCCTGCCGGCTAACGCCCCCTCCTCCGCCCTGCAGCAGCAGCTCCAGGCCCACCAGCTGTCCCAGCTTCAGGCCTTGGCCCTGCCGCTGACCCCGCTGCCCGTGGGGCTGCAGCCGCCCTCGCTGCCGGCGGTGAGCGCGGGCACCGGCCTCCTGTCGCTGTCGGCGCTCGGCTCCCAGGCGCATCTCTCCAAGGAAGACAAGAACGGGCACGACGGGGACACCCACCAGGAGGACGACGGCGACAAGTCGGATTAGCGGGCGGCGGGGGGGGCGGGGAGGACAGGCAGAGAGAGAGAGAGAGAGAGGAAGGCTCGGCGCCAGACACAGGATCGCCCGGGGTCGGCTAGCCCGGTGGTGTTTCTGGGAGCCCCAGCCTGCGCGGGGCGCCCCCTGGCTCGGCTCCTGCCCCGGACACCCCTCCTCCTCCTCCTCCCGCCCCTCTCCCCCTGCAACCTGAAGGCGAGAGAGCCGAGGCGAGCCGAGGTGCAGATGGAGGCCAGGTCGGAAGGGAGCAAAACCTCAAGAACCCCACCCCCCGCACCCCCTGTTGCGCACACGTGCACCTGACAGTCCGCCCGGGCCCTCGGGGCGCCCCCAGCCTCCCCCCCACCGGCACTGCATGCGAGCGATGCTAGCTGCCCCCTCCCCGCCCGGGCCCCCCGAGTCCCCGTCCCCGCCCCCCCCGCACACGCCCCCCCGGGCCTGTCCCCTCGCCCACAGAAGAGGGGCCCGAGTGGGGCGGGCGGGCGCCCCACAGTCCTCTTCCTGCCCGTCCCCAATAAAGATGAGGGTACTCCAGTTGTCTTGGTTTTTCTTTTCCTTTTTTTCTTTTCCCAGCACACTAGCTTGTCTTTGAAGAAGGGGGATATTAAAAACAAACAAAAAAAAAAAAACAACACAGAAAAATGTTTAAAAAAAAAAAAAAAGAGAAAGCAACACCCACACCTGTGTCTGTATATAGTTTCTTAGACTGCCGGCTTCTGTGTGTTCCTCGTTTGATCTCCGCGGAGAGAAGTGAAATGCTGTCTCGAGGGTGGGCTTAGCTGTGCCTTTCAAATAAAGATGTGAGAAGGTTGGTTGCCGTGTTCCTGCCTCTGTGTTGCGGCTGCCCTGGGGGGGGGGCCCTTCCCTGGGGGAGGAGGGGGCGTCCTTCATGTCTGAGCCCCTTTCCTCCGTTACAGGACCGGATATAGAGGAGCCTAGGTGATTCCTTGTGTATGCGTAGTCTATCTCCGGACCAGAGAGGGTCAGCGGGAGGCTCTAGGTCACACAGCATGGCCTAGGTGCTTGAGGTCTCGCCAGCCATTTAGACATAGGGGCAAAGGCTAAGGGGTCACTGATGGTGTGTGGCAGAGCTGGGTTCTGAGCCCCAAGCCAGAGAGCTCCCAGTGATATTCTTTTCCCTTTGAAAGGGAAGATGTGGAGACTGGAATCCTCACCCCCCGGCCCCGTGGCACACACACACAGACCCTTGTCCTGGATGAGAGAACGCAGACCCCCAGCTGAATCTCGACCCTCCAAGGACCCTTTTGAAAGCCCCCCAGCATCACCACCGCACCCAAGCTAGACCACCCCAAGGGGAGCCACATTCCCCCGGTGCATCCGGCACTTGGGCCAAGTGGACCTCAGGCTGCCCACCCAGGATGTGGGGCTGGGCTGGGGGGAGCCATCCTGACTTTGCAAGATCCTTCCCAGGGCCGCTTGGCACATAAACCCCCCGCTGGGAGCTGGGACACTGAGGGATACTGAAGTCCAAGACGTTCTGCCCTGTCTCCTAGTCCAGTGGGTTCCCACTGGAGCAAAGGCACAGAGAGGGAAGGAGGGAGGGAGAGAGGGGGCCATGGCAGGACTGCCGACCTCAGGGAAAACTCCTCGTGTCCCCAAGGAGAGAAAGAGGAGGCAGAGCGGGGACTGGAGTGGTCACACCAGCTGCCTACTGGCTCCCATGCCTCCCCCACTGCGGCCGAAGCACCTCCCCAAACGCCCGTGTGATGGGGTCACTCGCCGCTCAACACACATCCTCGTGTTGAAAACCCGAAGTCACCTACGCCACCGCCACTTGGGGAGTGTAAATTGTTCCATCTTCTTCGGAAGGCTGTTTGGCACCCAGCAATCCCCCTCCTGCGTCCATCCCCCAACAGAAATGCTGTTTGAGTCGGCCCAGAAGCTGTAAATCACAGCGTTCAGAGCCACTGAAGTGAGTTATCATCGACCCAAACTGGAAACCACCAGCTGTCCATCAGCTACAGGAGGAGAAGTCACCACCTAGTTGTGTAGTGGAATACTACGCAGCCGTGAAAAAGAACGGGATTCAACACCAGGCATCTCACACGCCTAACGCTGAACAAAAGAGTAAATACTGTGCAATTGGAAGAACAAAACTGGAAGAACGAAACAGGCCAAGTGACCGACAGCGTCCCATGCCACCAGTTTACCCTTAGGAGGGGGGAGGGGCAAAAGGGACTTCTGATGTGGCTGGCCTTGTTTCCTTTCTTAACTTGCCGGCTGATCACAGGAGTGTGTTCATTTTGTGAAAATCCATAGAAATGTTCATTTACCATCTGTGCACTCTTCTGTCAGTGCGTTATTTTTCACAATTTTTAAAAATGATAAAAAAAAATCGATTATCTTTGGCCCCGGTGGCCCTCAGAATAAATGCTAAATTCTTCACCAAGGCCCACGAGGCCCTGCTGGGCCAGTCCTGCCACCCAGCCCTCCAATCATTCCTACTCAGCAGGCTGAGGCTGCAGCCAGGTTGAAACATCTTACTGTTTATTGCCTTGAGGGCTTTGCACAGGCTGTTCCCTTCGCCAGGAACAGTGTACTTTTTTTTTCTCCCCTCCTCAGGGTTCTAATCCCCCAAGACTCCCCAGAAGTCACTTTTCCGAGGGCCTCCCCTGACCCTCCCCCAAAGCAGGGTTCTGTGACACACGCCCCCCTCCATCTTCCTCCCCTCCCCCCATAGTGGATATTATTAATGTGTTACATAATGGTGCCGGGCATGGGGTCCCCAGCGGTGGGTTTAAATTCTGGTTCTTCCTCCCCAGCTGCGTGATCTGGGCAAGTGGCTTCCCCCCTCTGGGTCAGTGGCTTCCCTCCCTGGAAAATGGGTCTGATCGCAGAACCAAGGCTGGTGACCAACATCGCCTTATTTAACCCCGGGAACGCAGAGCCCGGCACACACGTGCGCTCATTTTCCGAGACTCCACTCTGAGCCCCGGGGGCCACAGCGAGGACAGAACAGACATATCCCCGCCGTGGGTCGGGGAGACAGAGAAATAAGGAAAATACAGTGTGTCGCCGGGGGCGTGTGACAGACACGAGGCAGAGAACGGACGGAGGATCGGTTCCTTTTTTTTTTTTTTTTTTTTGAAATTTGCACATAGAAGCGACTCGATAATTGTCCGCAAATTTATTGCGGGCAGCCCTGGTCTGCACGGGGCTCGACCCCGGAGCGACTGCGGGCCAGCGAGGCCTCCCGGGCTGGCAGCTGATGCTGTAATTATTATTACTGACGCTGGGGCGCATGCATGCAGGGCACCGAGGGGGGGGCCAAGCCGGCAGCCCCACCCGGGGTTCTTCTCCAAGAAGAGGGGCAGGTGTGTGACCTCTGGTCTCCCTCTGGCCTGGTCCCCCCCTGCAGGGCTGGGTCCCCTGAGAGGAGGGTTGGGGCTCCAGGAGGCAGGAGGCAGGAGGCAGGGGGGGGGGGGGGGGCGGGTTCGGAGGGCCTCCCGCCGCCTCGGCCTCCGCGCTTAACGACCCGCCGCCGGCGACCTCGGCTAATTGATCCGCTAATGGGGCCCGCGCCGCGGCCGCCTAATGAGGCGGAGGAAGGGAGGGCGGGAGGGGAGGGGGAGAGGAGGGAGAAAAGGGAGGGCAGGGGGTTCGGGAAAGGAAGGAGGAGGGGGAGGAGAGAAGGGGGATGCAGGGGGATGGGGAGGAGGGAAGGGGGAGGGAAGGAGGAATGAGAGGAAGGGGGCGGGGAGGGGAGGGGTGGAGGACCTGGGGAGGGGGCTGAGGGGGGGGAGGTGCTCCCAGCTTCTGAGGGGAGGGGAGCAGCGGGCCTGGGGTGAACCCCCCCTTCTGACTACCCTGCCCCCTCTCAGACCCTGTCCCTCCCGGGAGTCCCTTCTCGAAGGCCGCCCCCCCCCCACTTCTCAGATCCCTCCCCACTCCCAGCCCCCTCCCCCTTTCTAAGGGTCTTTCTGGCAGGGGGTCTGTATGCCTCAAGGGTATGCATTCCATTTGTCGTGGGGCTCTCTCTGTGCCTCCATTTCCCCATCCAGTGTTGGAGAATCCCACAAGCCCCAGTGTCGTGAGACTGACCAGCCCCTGTCCCCACGCACCCCTCCCACACCCCGGGGGACCCCTGCGAACTGAGGGCCCCCCCAGCCCCCCTGCTGCTCCGGGGTTTGGCCTCCTGGGCTCAGCAGGGGTGAGAGGACTTCGGGACCCCTGACCCCGGAGAAAACCAGGAGCCAAAACTGGGAGGTGACACGTGAGACAGTCACAGGCCGGCCAGGTCCATCTGTGACCTCCCTCCTTCCCTGTCCTCTGGGGGTCTGCGCTCCACGTGGGCTTGGGGGACACAGGAAAGAGGCCTGGCTGCCGGGACGCTGGAGTGGGGGAGCCCGAAGGGATCTTGCTCTCTGCGCATCGTGCAGACAGGAGCACTGAGGCCCAAGGACGGGCAGGAAATTGTCCCCGTCACCAAGCAAGGCAGGGAGGGCCGCGGCCGGGTCTGCTGCCCCGGCTGCTGGATTTGCCCTTTGCTGACCGTCCGCTGTGGCTCCCGCCTCTACTGCGGGTCTCCATTAATTCCGGAAAATGCCCGTGGAAGAAGGACCATTCTACAGACGAGGAAACTGAGGCTCGAGACTCAAAAGTGCCTCCCCGACGGGCACACAGCGGGGAAGCTGAGTCCAGACGCTGGCAGGGCCCAGCTCTGGGGTCCAGGATCTTAGCCATTTTGTTGAAGAGGAAGAGAAGCTTCTGGACCCGGTGCAGGCGGGCAGAGCTGCGGGAGTGGGGAGGACTTCAAAGGTGGGGGTGCCAGGCAGGGCCAGGTATACAGCAGGCGGCTGCTGAGGAGGGGTGCGGGGCAGGGGTGCTCCTAGAGCTGCGTGGCCCTCCTCCTCGCCATTCTTGGCCTCTGCTCCAGGCTGGAGGGTGACCGAGCACCGAGCACTGTCCCACCTCGGGGCCTTGGCCTCTGCCTGGAACACGCTGTCCCCACAGCCACCACCGCCTCCTCGCTCCTGCTTGCTTTATCGGGCGCGCACAACTTGGGTCAACAAACGTTCCCTGGTTTCCTTCTGTCCCCCCTCCTGTGAGCTCCGTGACAAGAGGGACTTGGTCTGTTGGGGTCCCTCCCAAATCCCCGGGGCCTTGAACTGTGCCTGGCACATAGGAGGGGGTCCGTGAAGATTTAGGGGGAAAAATGAGCTGGAGGTGGGGGGCTGGGCCGGCCCCCCGCAGGCCCCTGCCTGTCAGGCGGGAGAGCTGGGGGGCCTCCGGGAGCCATGGGAGGTGTCTGAGCAGGGGAGGGGCGCCCCGAGATGCGCGAGGACCAGGAGGTTCTGGGGGCGCTGAGGGGCCAGGCTGGCGGGGAGACGGAGGCCGGGGCGCAGGGCATGTTGTCCGACCTTAGTTACCGCAGGGGGGAGCCGCCTGCAGCCCCAACCTGTGCCCCACCGCCCCTACGCTAAGGCCTCCCGCTGAGGGTCCCTCCCGGGGGATCTGCCCTTCTCTGACTCTCCCCCCACCCCCGCTGCCTCGGGGGGGGGGGGTGGGTTCCCCAGGGCTCCGTCTCCCGCTCCCTCTGCCTCCCGTCTCTCTCTCTGTTTCTCCCTCTGCCCTTCAAGGTCCTCCGAGGCCTCCCGCTTTGTCTCCTCCGCCCCCTTCCTCCTCCCTCCCTCCCTCCCTTCCCTCCCTCTCTCCCTCCTCCTCTTCCCGTGCGCCCCGCCCTCCCCCTACAAACCTCTCCCCCCCTCCCCCCCCACCCCGATCCCGGCCCCCGCTGGGCCTGCCCCGGCCTGCTGGGGAGCGCGCTGGGCCGGCCCGCCTGCTTGATGCT